AAGAAAAGCACAAATATTTAAGGTCACAAACAGACCCTCAGATCAAAATATCACATTTAAACACTACTAGACTGGTTTTCTCTTCCAGCATTATGTTTGAGTATCTTAAGAGAATTTTCTTTAGCATATATTTTTAGAAATCACAGAAGGGTTGAGGTTTCAAGTAACTTCTGGAGGTCATCTACTCCCCTGCTCAAGCAAGGCCACCTAGAGCCAGTTGCCCAGGCCACGCCCAGATGGCGTTGAGCATCTCCAAGGATGGAGACTCCACAACCTCCTTGGGCAACCTGTGCCAGTGCTCAGTCACCCTCACAGTAAAAAGTGCTTCCTGACATTCAGAGAAGTGGTGTTTCAGTTTGTCACCACTGCCTCTGGTCCTGGGCACTGCTGAAAAGAGCCTGGCTCTATCTCCTTCATACTCTCCCTTCAGGTATCTTTTTCTTCTCATGGCTAAACAGTCCCAGTTATCTCATCCTTTCCTCATAGGAGAGAAGCTTCAGTCCCTTCATCATCTTTGCAGCCCATTGCTGGACTCTCTCCAGTATGTCATGGTGTCTCTGCTACTAGTGAGCCCAGAAGAGGACACTACTCCAGATGTGGCCTCAACAGTGCTGAGGAGAGCGGAAGGACCATCTCCCTCAACCTGCTGGAAATACTTTGTCTAACACAACCCAGGATACCATTTGCTTTCTTTGCTGGCTTATCTTCAACTTGGTGTCCACAAGGAGCCCCAGTCCCTTTTTTGCCAAGCTGCTTTCCAGCTGGGTGGCCCCCAGCATACATTGGTGCATGGGGTTGTCCCTCCTCAGGTGCAGAACTTTGTACTTCTCCTAGTTGAAGTTCAAGAGGTTCCCATCAGCCCAGCTGTCCAGCCTGTTGAGGTCCCTCTGGTGTATGAGCCACTCCTCCCAGTTTACTGTCATCAGCAAACTTGCTGAGGGTACACTTTGCCCCATCATCCAGGTCATTAATGAAGATGTTGAACAGGACTGGACCCAACATTGACTCTGGGGTACACTGCTAGCCACTGGCCTCCAGCTAGACTTTGGACTGCTGACCACCACCCTCTCGGCCCTGCCATTCAGTCTGTTTTCAGTCTACCTCACTGCTCATCCAGCCCATACATCAACAGCTTTTCTTTGAGGACCTCATGGGCTGAAAGCCTGTGTCAAGATGAGTGGGTAAGGATCATGTATTTTGTGCAATTTTGTCTTAAGAGACATTCCTGTTCAAATCGACTCTTTTTGTTGAAAACTTCTCTATTACAATACTGTTTTACACCCACACACTCCATTTGGAACATAACTTTTTCCAAACAGGTTTTAAATACTGATTTGCCTTACTATTAAAAATAAGGATGACAAGATTGTACATAAAAGTTCTCCGTTACTAAATGATAAAGGTTGCCAGCCAACATGATGCATGTTCAGATACAAGAACTTCTGGAGCATGAACCACAGAAAAATCTGAAGTCAGTTGCTGAAACCAACACAAATACTGTTTATTTGTGGGATGCCATTTTACATCAACACCAGCAGAAGACCTAAAAATCAACCATATGAACTCATGTTAGGTGCTGCAACAGTATTTTTGTCAGGTCGTGAGTAATATGTAATATCCAGGTAACTAAACCTTCACTATATCCAGGTAATATCCAGGTAACTAAAACATTCACAGTTCCAGGTTAACTGCTGTTCCTGCAACAGCAGTGTCAGTAGGTACTATTTTGCAACAATACACGTACACACACACGCACACACACGCACTCACACCCACACATGGAGCCAGGGGAGGGATTTAAAAAATAAAAACAATATCAAGCCAAGTTTTGGTCTCAATTACAGACAACAAATTATTTAGTTGGTGGATGGATTCTATGCGCTTTTACAGCAATATGAAAGGACAAAATATAAGGCCTAGAAAGAGGTATCTTAGTAGTTATAATTAAAACCAGGGCACAAGCTAACCTTTAAAGCTGTCTATATGAATTCCAAGAGTATTAACAGTTTGTTAGACTTGTGACCAAGGGTCAACAGAAATCTGGCAAAATCTTAACACAACTGAAGTCCATTTCTTTTCCTCCAAAAAACTAACGTGGGAACATTAACTGAGTAGCAATGAGCTGTAACTAATTTTGATTGTGTGAGCATATTTGTGATGGAATAAAATGCATGTATTTGTGGTAAAATGGAAGAAGCCTCCAGTCGTCTACACGTTAGACAAGGCTACACAAAGGTAATCCAAGAATTCATTGTAGCCTAAAGACACCTTTAGACAGGTTTTAACTGAAAACTCAAATACATAAAGGATTCCAGTAAATTCTGTCCTCTTCAGCTTGCTTTCCTTAAAAAAAGGTAAGAAGTGAAAAAACAACAGTGTCACAGAATTATATTAATATTTTAAATGCTTAATATTATTCTGCTATAGAATGAAATTTAACTTGTGGAATGTTTTGGTTACTAATATTACTTAGGTTGGAAAAGACATTTAAGACCATCAAGTCTGAAGAGCTCCAAATGTCTGTTAACTATCAACTCAGTGTCCACTGCTACAGCCTCTGGATGCTGCTTTCCTTTCACTAACTGGCTTTTCATTTTACATCTCCCAAACACCAACCATGAATTGCACATCGATCAAGTTTCTTCTGTAAGAACAGTAACAGTACACCAGGAAGACCCGTGACACTTCTGCCAGAATGACCTTTCTGTGTCTTGTCCAAGCAGTCAGCACATTCTGTATATTACTTTTTAAAAGGAAAAAAGTATATGATGACATAACAAACAAACAAAAAAATCAAACCCCAAACTTGTAATAAATACAAGGTAAACTGAGAAGCTTAATTAAGTTTCCACAATTATTTAAAAATGAGAGGGAATTTCTCCAAAATACAAGAGCTGGCAATGTTAGGATCATCTGCTTATCAGCAAATATAGCAAAAAACAGAAGGATGGATACCACACAGAAGCTTATCAAGCCATATGGACCCATTTTAGTCCATTTGTTCTCTATAAAGGTCAGTAAAGTTGTCTGCTAGCAGTAATTGTATTTACAGTGGTTTATTTTATGAAGATGCATGTTTATAAACCAGCTGAAGACTACACATTCATCCTGCTTGCAAGTGGAAGAAAGAAAATTTGCAGCATCTATCTAATTCATTTCCAAACACATTATTCCTTTCCATCAATCCTGACTAATTTTACCCAAAGAAAAAATGAAAAGTTTGTTTACTTACACACTGTGAGTACCTTCTAAGGTTTTTTCCCCTCCATTTTCTTTGCTTTTAATTAATTTTTCATATTCTGCTAAACATTAGCAAAACTTGGAAAAAGAGCACCTGGTTGAGCTGAACAGATTTCTGTTGACCCTGTTATATGAAAGTTATACCTAGAGCAGTAATAGATTAAAAGTCTTTGGCTCTTGCTTCCATTATTGGAAGCCAAATTATTTGTGACATACAAAACCTTTTATGCAAACCTTGTATTTTTTGCAAGATTCATGCCAATTTTGCTAAACAGTTTTCTAGAGTCAGTAACTAGTTTAATGTTTAAGAACAATTACAGTATTTCACTTAAAATCTTAGCAACCACAATTTAGCCTAAGGTTAAAAGTTATATTGCTTCCAAGTTAATTATTTTAAGAACTAAATCAGCAGCTCCACTGATATTTCCTTAGGGTTATATTATGGTAATATACACATTTACATCAGAAATCTTAATAAAACGTGTGTGTTTTAGTAAAAGGCTTATTGTAAACATTAAATACCACACTCCACTGAATTAATTTCTTGTGCAAACTGGCATCAAATATGGAATTAAGGTTATATGTATTAGTACATGAGAAAGCAATGACTATGTATGATTTACCACTACTAACTTTAAAGAGCACTATTCAGTGTCATGGAAATCAGAACCTGACTATTTCACAGGGAAAGGTAGTATTTTCTTCTTAGCATGGTGAAATTCTAGGCTTTGTATGTGCATACATATTGTATATTTATGTATATACAAATATACACAAACACACACAAATTATTTTTTGTCTTTGGCAGCTGAGCCTGACAAACAAAAACCAACAACAAACAGATCCGAACACAACTGACCACCTGTAGCACCACAGTTACAACCTCCTGGTCCAGGGCAGCAAACTGATGTGCATTTGCTAAATTAGGCTTAATCCTGAAAGTAGTCAAGTTAACAACAGTTGTTCCTGACTTCAGTGACGGCAGAATGGGACCTTCAATACAGCTGAAAATTTCATATTCAACCGAAAATGCTTTCCCCCCACTTCCCCTGGATTGCATTCTAGAGAAATATCAAAACTGCCAATACTTTGTAAAATATTTCTACAGAGAAGTAATGTTATTCTTTGTTTCAAAACATCCACTGCCCCTTTTATGTTAAATGCTCTATGAATCAGTATGGAACATTTTAAGTCCTTTGGGGTCAAAGATTAATAGCACCAGATACTTCAAGGACCTATTTGTAAAAATCAAAGCTAACATTATTTTAAATAAAGAAGGGTAAGGCAAAAACAACATGACAAAATGAACTTAAACATAATTCTACTAACTTATTTTCCCCAAAATAATCACTAGAGTTGTCCTATACAGTTAAAGAAATTAGGGAAATAGACAGTGGTCCTTACTAAAAAGTACTGTCATTTAATGCTGGTGTTTAACATGCCCATTGCCTGCAATGGACATTCTGCTAGGAAATTCCAATCCCCAGCATGAAAGAAAAAGTAATGTTTTGACTATTTGATATCGTATTTTTAATTATTTAGAAACATAAAGTTGAAGACCCTGGGAAAGACTAGTGTTACAAACGAGAAAAATTCCAAATCTGCATTATCTATACGCTAGGGGTGAGTAGACTTTATTCCCCAAACCACTAATTTTAGCTAGAACTTTCAATTTCACTAGATCGCAACACAGACCAAACACTCTTGGTACAGCAAAAATTAAAAGGAGGATGCCAAAGGCAATTTACAAAAGTCTAAAACCCATTTTTAAAAGGTACTTTAATTTGTCCATTTGTACCTGTAATGACTACTGCAGTTTTAACATTAAAAAGTCAGTACTTTTTTCTTCAAATGCAAATCATCTGTGGCATGTACAACTATTACAGTGTTTTAATATTTATATGTGTATATATATATATTTTTTTTTTTAAGACACCAATGTTTCGTTCCTATTAAAGCAATAGGTCAGGTTTGGCGAATTCTGGTGAAGAAAGTCACAGCATGTCTTCTCCCCTCAGAAATTGGCATCTCAAATAGTAACATTAAAATTGACAATAGTTCTTTACATAACTATGTCCAAGCAGTCTGTTCATGTCATTTTCTGAAATGCTACATTTGAGACCAAAAGAAAATCAAAATAACTAAAGTTTCAACAAACATGTAAGTAATGACTAGAAATATGCCACAAAATTATTTTTACAATACATTTCTGCAGAAATAATTCCTAGGTGAAGGTTTTTTTTTTTTATACACATATACAAAATTTAGACAGCAATATACACATAATCACAGTGAAGACGCTGGCAAGTTCACCAATTTGTAGTGTAAATACAAAATGCAAAGCAGCCTTCAAAGAGAACAATGCTACACAGCGAGCATAGCTAGCTTGTTAAATAGCAAACATCAAAAGTTCCCTGCAAAAGGGATGCAGTGCAAGAAAAGCAGCATGCACTTTGATACAAATAGCAGTTTATGGCTAATGGTTGATGTAACTGTGGTAACAGAGACTCTTGAGTGGCTGTGCATAGTTAAAAATCCTATGTCATCTGTTTTCCTTTATACCATTCCACAAACTCATCCAACAACACTGGCCCTGTAGAGAGATCAAATAACTGTATTTTACAAAAATTTTGTAAAGGGACATTGAATGATTAAGCTCAGAGAAATGCATTATTTTAGAACACCAACACATGGTAGTACTTACAAGCTCCATCTTCATCATAGTTACTGAGGTCAAGGTTAATTGTTCTGCTGAATTCAAGAACGTTACACCATTGGTCCTTATTGATAACTTTGTATTTTGATTGCTGCTTAAGGCAAGAAACAGAAGTTATTAAAATATATTTTCAACTCCCTCAAATTCAGATTTTATTACAGAAAATTTACACTTAGTGAGAATTATTATTTTAATCTATATGCTATCTAAAATGAAACAGGCTTAAAGAAACCACTAGGCAGCCAAAACAGTGTTGAATAATTCATGTTTCTGATTAAGACATCTTTTAGTGGACAAACATACAGAAACAAAATGAAAGCACAAAAGAAAGTCAAACACATTTTATACTTTGTCCTGCATTAAATAAACCTTAACAGCATAGGGATTTGAGGAAAAGGAAAAAAGGAAAGATAAGTCACAACTGCTGCCCTGAGGGTTAGTATATTCTAAATTAGAACAAAAATTTCTAGCTGTTCATTCTACCTCTAGGTATAGTATCAGAGAAAACAGATCAAAAAAATTTAATTCTGTTTCAAGCTTCATACCTCTAGAAACTGGTGAAATACTGGAAAAAGGGACCATGTTTTTCCTAAAAGAAGGCCCAACATACACTTGGCTGTATTGATATCTAGGCTGCGCTGGTCCTTTTCCTGCATGAAAAGGTCAAAAAGGAAAAAAAGAGCATGATTTCAGGATTTTTCACTTCCCCCCTCTGCTTGTACTTCAGCTCACCCATACATAAACTAAATTAACACATAAATAATAAATAGTAGTATCTAACAGTGGTGTTTAATACAACACAAATTCCTAGTAAAATTTCCTTCCTCGTAGCTAATGGCTTGCTATACAAAGATGCTGCTTTCTATAGACGTTCTCAAAGCACTGTCACTGCTATTGGAGATGAAGCATCCACTCCCATTTGTGACTTCAGAGCTTTCTAGAAAGCAATGGCTGTTACACCCATACCCATGTTCGCACTTATGCCTCTACACAGACGACATAAGTTTCTTAAAATAGTATCGCTGCACATATTTCCTGTGGTGTTATTACAACTACATGAACTGTCAGTAAAGTAGCTATCAAGTAACACTGACTACACAAGGGTGAGCAAAGGAGGTTTTTTGTTCTGTTATTCTACTGATTACATGAAATTCAGACTAAATTAATTATCAAATGAGTAGAGGGAACATAATACACTAGCACATGGACACCCTTCTCAGAACCGTCCAGTTTTAGTTCAACGTAGCAGTAGTATATTAAGGCTTAGGGGGTGATTTTTTTGTTTCTGCTAAGAAAAAGAAGCATCATCTATACCCAGAAGATTCATTACATCTAATCAGTAAGAAAGTTAATATATTTAATAACACAACTTCTGTAGATCTCAAAAGTAACATGTGTACATGTAAGATTCCATTTTATTAGAGTAGTTTATCCATGTACATTTGTTGTCTTGAAGTTAAACAAATCCTGGTAAGAGATGGGAAGCAAAGCTCCACCCTTTTATGCCCTGGTTATAGCATTAAGCTTCAAATTCAGAAATTAATGAAATCACAAAAAATGAAGTTTCATATTAGCTACTTTAGACCTTGATCTCTCTACAGGTAGTCATGATTGCAGACTGCAAAGCCTAAATTAAGAAAAAAAAAAGGGCTATAGGGATATCCAGGATACAGGAAGCACCTATCAGAACAGTAAGAGTCAGTTACACAAGAGAAAGGGAATTGAGCCCTACGCCTCACCTGCACAAGTGCTGTCATATGTATTACAGAATGCAAATCTTTATTTTAAAAAAACAAGCTCAAAACATAACTGAATTATCTTCTATCATGTAGAAAGAGTTTGGTAGAGTGAGATCCTAGTTCTCAGACAACTGAATGCCTTAGCCACAAGGTTATCCTCTCTTCTTGAAACCCATTTCATACAAATTACACCTTGATTCTAAAATTTTCTAGACAGAATTTAATGCAGATTTGGTTTGGAAGGAAAGTGGGGAGGCTAGCAACTCTGAAAACATCAGAAGCTCTTTCATATTCTGGTTACCAAATACAAGAAAGAGTTCATTCAATCTGATCTAGAGGAAAAAAGTAAATTCCAGGATGAGCAAAGCTTTTCAATTAGTAATAAAGTTGAAAAACAAACCTGCAAAGGTATTTCTGTATTAATACGATACAACTCTTTCATTTATTTCCAGCATCAAATAGTTCTAAAAACTAACCCTCTTTCCAAAGCCCATTTACACCTCTGTTACAAACACCTTTAAGCAGAAATCATACTGCTGTAAGAATACATTCTATTTTCCATACTGTTTATACTCTGAATTCTTCCCACACACTCAAGTGTTAACAAAATCAGGCTCTGTTGCCTTGACTTTGGTCGTGCTATTTTTACATGCCTTACATTGTTAAGATTATACATTCTCCCTCTCTGACTACTGTTCAGAACAAGTTGTTCAGAGAAGCCCTTTATACCCACCTCCAACGGCCTAATGGCACATCTGACATGACAGATGCTCCAATTTCATTCTTAACATACATTCCAGATACTTAAACTCTCTTTCTTGGATACAGTGGAAAGAATATATTGCCAAACTCTGACAAATTTCAGTATTTGTTTTACATTGAAGAGAGACAGTATTTCTGATTTTTTTTTTTTTCCTCAGTATTTCAGGTAAAAGACTTAAATAAGTCATGAAATACATGCATCTGTATGTTCTCAGACTTGTCAATGAACATGGCAAACAGGGAGCAAGGAATGTACTTGGGCTTAATAGCAACATATGGTGTTATAAATTATTTCCTCAAATCCATGCTGACTTAAATCGTGCATGCCACACAGAACCTTGGTGATAAGTATCACTTATTTTTATTGGCAAAGTATCTCTAAATAGAAAATTACAACAGACTCTTTCAAAAATTCTCTCTTAAAACTTCAGAAATTCAGACAAGTGTTTTTTGCCATGGAGCACTTCCCTGAAATGATTGCCCTTAGAATGGCAATTACACAATCTTCTGAATCGAAAATGAAAACTGCTCCTCCCATCAGCCTTTTTCTATCAATCACTTCAATTATTCTGATAAAAATTATGTACAGATTCATCTGCTGCATCTGGATAAATGTATCAGCATTTGTCAGCATTCATTTCTATTCGTACTGGATGCCAGTCTTCTATAAACTTCCCCTGGCTCCACAGTATTAAAAAGTTCAATAATTCTATTAATCTAATATTTTTTGACAATTCCCCTGTCAATATGCCTTTGACTTGCTGTTCTACAATCTGGGGGTTTTTTTGACACGAATGATGTCACAGCATCTGTGTCTCGATGTTTACATACTTTTTCAAGACCACTGTTTGCCATATCAATTTGGTACCTCTTGAAAAAACCCCACCCACTCTCCTCTTTTTTAAGTTTCTGCACTTACTTTTGACAGGCCATCGGGGCTGGTGCAGATTCGCTACTAGCAAAAAATTTTTAATCTATTCCAAATATTTTGTCAGTATCTTGAGCTTCTTTGGCAATGTTAGTTACTTCTAGCCTTTGCATTTTATGTTGAGCAAAAGTAGCAGAATAAATCTTCACATAGCAAAGGAAGAGTTAAGATGTTGACATGGCTTTTTTTCCTCTCATACAAACTAATACCATGCATTCTGCAATATTCAGCTGTAGGTTTCCTTGGTTAAAAGTGAACTGCTGTGAATCTCTGCATGCTGACATGCAGAAAGCACTGAGGTACCACAAATCTGAGCTGCAGACTTAACTACCAGAATTGCTGCTATCAGTTCAACTACCTATTATTATTTTTCCCTTCGTTTCTTTTTGCTGAAAATTTTCTTGATGCTTTGGTTCTCCTGCATCAAAATCTGAGCTTCAGTTTTGCCTGTGATCGTTCTTACATTAAATCTTCTGTATATTCCATCATCTTAGCAAGCCGGATGTCCAAATTCAAAGTCAAAATATTAATTCAGAAAATTAAGGTTCTTTTATTGCTACTTTTAAGTAGGAATAGTCTTATATACATTATGGGTTCCAATAGCAGGTACAATTTTATCAATACATATTTTATAATAGGAATACTGACATCAGGATATTGTTTAATAAACACCGAGAAAATCATTAATGACCTTCCAACAGTCTTCTGAACCAGAATTTATATTATATCAGATCCAGCTTTTATCACATTAGTTATTTTCACCACCTGCAGAAATGTCTGAAGTGCTTTCCTGTTTTAAATATGTTTATGCTCATAAGATTCAAACAGAAATAAGAAAAAATAGGATAATTATAAAGCCAGTGGAAGTAAGTGGCAAAGCTCCAATATGCAACAGAACAGGGCCTAAATTATTTCCTTGAAGTCACAAAATAGCTTGAAGTAAAGAGGCAGCAAATCAGGACAAAACACTAAGCCACTGAATATCAAACATCCTATATACTTTTCAATTTCTGGCATTTTGCATATACTTTTTTAGAGTATGAACAGTTCCATTTGTTAGAAGCAATCCTGAGTGGTATCTTAAGAGAAACATACTTAGAAGTATACAGTCTCTCAATTATTACTTACGAAAGTAAAGCTTTAATTTCACATGCTCGTCTTCCACAGTACTTACCCGTGCAAAATCAAAAGCATATCTATAAATAAGTTTAAAATTGGTAGGCTCATTTAATAAAGATCTCAAGTAGTCCAGAGAATTTCTCAATTTTTCTGTAGTATCACATCTACAAGAAAAGCACGAAGTGAACTTAGAGTCTGCATTCTTATACAGATGTCTGATGTTTTAGAAAAGAACCTCTAACATGTACCCCCATCAATCTGTTCAAAATACATCACTCTCTACAAAGGCGTCTGCATAAAATGCCTTGGTTAAACCCACAGTGTGAAACAGATTTAGATAAAATAGCAGTCTTACACTGGTACTCTGATAAACAGATTAAACTAAAAGTTTGTCTACGCATGGCAACCAACCACCCAGCAAATCACAGCAGTGAAACAGTACTTTTATAGTTTTGCTGAAACTATAGAACTTCCTACACAGTTTTAGTGATTGATTCTGTTCTGGAAGGTAAGTCCAAACAGTTCTTTCTCAAACTCTCTATGAAATGTTATTATTCAACTACAGTTATGTTAATTATGCCATGAAGATAAGCTCTGAACTGGAGAAAGAAACTCTTGGAAAGAACATGACAATGCAGAGTTACAGGAAGGGATTGTATTATTTAGCATTTTAAACTGCATATGCCTTAACAACGTAGCAATATCTAATAGGTAGGTCCAATCCAGTGACAAAGACAGATGTTCCTGGGGACAGAGACAATGTTGAATCTCACAACAGTTCTGTTTTCTTGAGACTGCAGACATCTGCAGACATTTTAATACAACTATATTTAAATGTGCAACTATATACAACTATATTTAAATTGAAATCTGTCAGGTGTCAAATTGTCTCTAAGTGGACATATCACCATAAACAGGACCAAAAATGTATGGCTTCTACTCTGCTTTAGGTGTTATGAGTCAAAACATCAAAGTGTGTTTTTTTCTAAAAAACTGGGTTTACTATAACAAAGTGCAGAGGTTTTTCAAAGCACTTACTGTAGTGATGTCATTCCTTTTAACCATTCTTGTAATGTAAAGTAGCCCATGTTTTGTGCATCCAACTTCCACGCTAGTACAAGCATAACTACCTGTTTGAAAGAGAAAAAAAAAAAATGAAGACTGAAAAGAATTAACAAAAAGACCCAGACAATTGCCAAATAACTACTGTTCAGCAGCCTACAAATGCTTTACTCGTATAAATGGGGTGTTCAGATCTTCGCTACAGTATTTTAAAAGTTAAAAAAATCTGAAAGTGACAAACCTGCACATAATCCAATCAAAGAAAAGATAAGAGTGCACAGATACATAGTGAACATCCACTCAAGTTACCAGTAGCCACCCTACTTCAAGGAAGCATGCACAGTCATCTAGTAAGCAGTGCAATGAGGAAGATGAGTTGGTGCCAAAGCTACAGAAAAGGTTTCCGAAAACAATTACAAAATGTAAGTACCAATTTGACAAGTTACATTTGACATTTGTTAAACTCTCATATAGGTGAACATAAGCTGCAATCCATGAGCTCTGTGAAATCCAGTTCTAAAGCTAATAATGATCCCACTTGAACCCAGCTACCCCAGGTACCATCAGGCTACCTACTTTTTCAGGTCCAAATATGAAGCATAGTTCAAGTACATGTTAAGTAAAGCCAGGTGAACCAGCATTAACACACATCAAAACAGAGGCTGATACATAAACACTTCAGTTTTCCCCAAAATAAAACAAAGTCCTTTTCACATCTCACACATAAGACTGAAGAGATAAAGAATTTAGATTAAGCAATACTATAAATTACTATCTTACTCAGGAACTTAAGAAACCACTTTTCATATATATTCCATGAAAAAACTTGCAAGACAACTGACCTTGCAGACTAAAAGAAAAAAAAAAAATAGTCATTTAAAAATCTGCAACTCAGACACAAACTAGCTAATTTTAGTGCAGCTCTACAAGGTTTTTGATGCAAACTCAGAATACCTACTTATATACCCAAATGCCTGCATAAATCTCAAGGGTTTATTACACTAATAAACTCCAAAATTAGCAAACCACATTTATATTTCCAGTAAATCTTTCAAAACTACAATTTTCATTTTACTTATCAAAGATGATGCTTTATGAGTTCTGTAAAATATGGGACTTGCATGTACATTTAAGGAGCAAAAATCAGGCACTAGGAAGAGTCTGTAAAAGGCACAACTATTACTTTTTAAATTTTATTTACCTCTGTATATACATACATATAAAATATATATGTATTTATATATACTCATTATTTGTGTTTTGAAATGGCATAATGGGAATACTAGTATTGCTCACAATATTTGAAATCCTTTTCTCTCCTAGAAAAACCAAAGAAAACTTTACTTTGTAGTTGCTACACTAAATGTCCAGTGTTGTCTCACTGCTTCAGAAAAGACAACCATTGGCTTCCCTTTTTTTTTTTTTTTTTTTTTTTTTTTTTTTTTTTTTTTACTTTCTACCTTTTTTGGGGGAGTAGGAAAGTGAAAGAGAAGGGGTGGCAGCAAAGACAAATTGAGTTTTTACAGGTTGATAGTTTGGGGTTTAAAATAAAGGCAAGTTGTTTCCAAATGTAAATATAAACCTCCCTAGTTTTTATTTAATTTTTTAATAAGCTCCTAAGAATTTTAATTCTTGATGTAAAAATAAGGGATGTAAGACTGGTCCATGTACATCGTAACAGATAAGGCATCTTTGAATGGACTTTGAACTTACATTTTCTGGCTCAACTCCAATGTCTTCACAAAATTTCTCCATACCTTCTGGCCCTACAATGTCATCAGTGCCTGCAAACAAAATGCACTTTACTTATCTCTGAAATTAAATCAGTCTGACCTCTGACCTTTACAGCACAGGAGAAATGCAAACGCACAATACAACCTGAACTTCCTTACAGGTTTGTTTTTGTTTGTTTTAACACGCAATACGTAATTTCCACACTTACTATCAGTTGGATACACTTAAATCTTTATCTCACCTTTGGAAACAGAGACAGAAGAACTGTAAAACAACTTTTAATTCATAACAATATCCTTCATTCTACCCATTTATCAAGATAACCTTGGAAGAGTAAATTAATAAGATCTACAAGAACACACTTAAGACTAACAGAACATCCACATAATATTGCCATGGTGTCCTGGTTTCGCTGGGACAGAATAACAGAATAAACTAGCTTTCAGAAAAGCTGCATTTCTGAGTAGACTGCAGCACCCAATCCAGTGAGAACAAAGTTCATAAGATACTCTGTGGCCAGCCATAGTATGAGGGTTTCCATAGTGATCAAGGTCTTTGGGAGTTTAGAGTTAGCCAGGCGCTCAGGCTAGGGGGAGCGAAAGCCAGGGGAGCTGACCCAAGCTGGTCAACAGTATTCCACACCATAAACGTCATGCTCGCTATAGATTGGGAAGTTTGCTGGAGACGTTGTTCTTCCTCAATCGTCGCTATCCTTGGGGGGTCTCGCCCGTCATTCTGCTCCTGCGGCCTACTCTCCCCCTTGTCACCATCAAGCTTTCACTGGCTGAGTATAACTTTGTGTATTTTGTATTAGTATTAATATTAGTTCTTCTTATTATTTCATTAAATCTGTTTACATTTCAACCCACAGGTCTCCTTTCCTTTTCCCAATTCCTCTTCCCAGGTGAGAGACCCAGGGGTCACTGGGTACTAGAACACCAATGTTGTTGTTGACACTTGTCAACAACCCTCTCTACCTCGAAGCTGTTGTCTCCATCTCCTATTGTCTGGATACACGGGTCCAGCCCCTGGTAATTGAGGACTTTTTTTTATTTTTTCTATGTAATATTTTATTGTCTCCCCAATTAATTAAACAGCTGATTTAACAAAGATAAAGAGTTGAATAAGTGGATGATGGTTAGTAAAACTCAATTCTTGACTTGAATATCTACTGTTATCATAAGATCTTATCACATAAAAATGCGATGCATAGCTATACAGGACAAAAGACATTACCATTCCCAGAATCTCAGTCCTTATTGCCTCAAATACTATCTTCATATAAGTTATCTACAAAAGAGAGCCTCAAATAAAAATCTCATGCTCCTGTTTATTCATATTGCTATACCATGGCCACACATTATCTGAATTTTAGTAACTGCAGAGGGAAGGAAGACATGAATTGCAGTTATTTCTTTGCTAACTTAAAAGGAAAAAAAAGACTAAAACATCAGATGCTATTTATTAAAATGCACTACTATTAAAACCTGCTGTTAAATCAAAATATTTGTAACTTCCACAATACTCTATTGAAGAAATTATATAGGCATTAAGAATTGTATTGTGCAATTCTATTTTTAAGTACCTTTTAAGTATTAAGACTATTCTGATAGAATTATTTTCCTTGCTTTTAAAAGGGCTCATTTGGAAAAAAAAAAACCCAAAACAAAACATTAGAGGCTGAAATGCCTACTTTCATCCAACACATCATTTGTGCAAGAAAAAGAGGTTTTATAAAGGGAAGATCAATCTATGTTTTATTATTAGGTGACCTACTATTCTAGAAATAACAATGTTTAATTATATCTTTTCCTATCTCATGACATCCTCTCACAGTTCTTTAGAGTGTACACAACAGTCTTTAAAAAGACTCAATCTGTAATATAAAGACACACAAGGGAAAAAAAACAACAAATGCAGTGTCAGTTGTCTGCATATATAAAGGAGAAGACTTACGAAGCAAGATCACAAAAGAGATTACTCTTTGAAAAGTCATTTTTAGAATGGTACTCAGTCCTGTAAATAGAAACATACTCTCCACTTTTCTCTGTTTTATCTTGGTGTATGGACGCAGTGGAACCCCAAGCTCTTTCACATACTTCCTTTCATCCTCTCTTTCCATGACCTCTTCAGGGATCTGCTTTTGACCACTTCAGGGATCTGCTTGATCAGG